TGGCACGAGGCCACAGTGGCTTACCCTGCCGCCCTTCTTTGCTGGAGTTTGTCCCCACTGCCACAAGCGGGATGTGGGTGATGCAAAGCGCGGCGCGGGGTGTGAGAGGCAGTCTGGGCCCTCATGTGGTGACAACAACCTCTGTCAGACAGAGCTGTAGCAGTAATTTGTCCCTCCCCTGTGTGTTAGTGGTTGCTGGGCTGCATTTTGCAGAACATGCCTGGTCCCTGGTGGCCCTCGTTCAGAGTTGTGGTCCCCTAGGGCTCAGGGACATGGGGTCAGGGAGCCAGACGGGCAGGGAAACCCTAAAGACTTTGAAGAAGGATTGGAAAACCAAGCTCTTGCTGGGCTTCCAGCCCCGGGGTGCTAAGAGCCGTGACTTGGATGTGGTTTTAACAGTGTGCTCTTCTTCCGACAGATCCACCGCAGTCCACCCTGAAGTGCTGGGCCGAGACCTCCTCCTCGGGGCTGATGCTGCAGCTCTTCTGCAGCTGGCCCGGGGGGTACCCCCACCCCACGCTGCACTGGAGGGAAGAGGGGCACGATCTGGAGAACTCCAGCTGGGTCATCAGCTCCACGAGGTCCTCGGACACCCACGTGGAAACCCTGAACAGCTCCCACCTCGCCCACCGCAAAGTCTTCAAGTGCGTTGGGAGCCACGTGGTGGAGCAGGAGGAGCCGGCCTGCTCTGTGGAGATAAGTGAGTTGCCTGGCTCAGCACAGTAATTATTAATGAGCCTGCTAATGGTGGGGCAGGCGGTTACCCCGGGCGTTCTTTGCCCTCCAGAACACGAAGGCAGTAGTCAGGCTCGCTGGCTCTTGCAGTGGGGCAGGAGGGGGATGATAATGAGGCTGCCTGGCAGGGTTTGACTTGTGCAGGGGTGACTGCACGAGGCACAGAAGTCCTGCAGGTGAGATCCAGCATGGGAGGGTTGTTGTCGATGTGTTGATTTGGGTACAACTTCGGGGGCTGGCAAATCTCTGAGCAGCACTCTTTTCACCTCTGCAAACACTCGTACTTAGGGCTGCAACACAGAAGGTGATTGGAGGTTTTAGTGCCTTGCTCAGCTTGAGATGAAGTTTTTTGGGGCTGATTTATGGCAAAGTGGTTGTGCATGCCCCCAGTCCCCCATAAGCCTCTAACAAGGGCTGATGAAAGTGGCTTTGGAAAACCTGAGCTGTGTTTGTCCTCGAAGGCTTGTTGGGGCTGCAGGAGAACTCTGTGCCTCCCAAGGAAAATGCCTGGGCTGCCTTCCTCCTCTCTGCCATCTTCCCACGGGCTGTCCTCCGAGCATTCCCGCCTGTGGATGTGACAGCAGGTGCCCAAAATAGGATCGAACAATGTGCAAGTTGCTCACAGAGCTCATTGGAAGGCTGCTGAGGTCCCATGAGCAACATCAGGAGCCCCATCAGCATTAACGCTTATTAATTTGTCAGATAGTGATTTCCTTATGCATTAAACTCCGCCATCCCCTTTTTCTTTTTTTTTTCCCCCTTCAGAGCTCCCCTCCCTGGAATCGGACCCCCCGCAGACCTGCTTGGTGGGTGACAACTGTGACCCTGACATGCCGGCTGACCGAGGGCGTGCCGGCGGCCCGGCTCAGCTGGCTGCGGGGCATCACCCAGCCGGAGATCCAGCCCGGAGGGAGGTTCCTCATCGCCCAGGAGGGCAACGTGTCCCGCCTCACCATCCAGAACTGCTCCCAGGGCACCGACGGGGGCTGCTACGTCTGCAAGGCGCAGAACCCCGTGGGGCTGCGGGAGATGTTCGTCTGCCTGACGGTGAAGCGTGAGTGGGGCTGCCTGGGGTCGCGGTGGGAGGCAGGGACGCAGCTCGCTGCAGCTGTAGGACAGCCCCCGGGGGCTTTGCTTGCCCCTGGGAGCCTGCTGGCTGTCGATACTCTCACAGCAAGTGGGATGCAGGGCTGGGCTCCTTCGTGCCAGGGTGAAAAGGCCCAATTCTCCTCACCTCGGTGTTAATGGGACTCAGAGAGGGGCACAGCTGCTTCCCTGGTCCTTCCCTGTGTGTTTTGGGGGTAGAGGAGCACTCAGGGTGCTGCTTGAACTGCAACGGGGATTGATTTGCATCTGCTAAATACACGTGGACACAGAAATAGGGGCCTCATGGTGGTGTTTTCCATGTCGGTGAAGCAGAGGGGCCTGAGCCTCGCACCCTGCGTGGTGCTGGGACTGAAGTGATGGGAAATCAGAGCTGAGAGCATCCATCCGTGTCCCACTGACGAGGTGGCCGCCCGTGTCTCCTCTGTCTGCAGAGCCAACAAACATCGTTGGAGTCGTGGGCGCGGTGGCGACCCTGTCCCTGATGGCTGTTCTCACCATCTCCGGGCTCATCTTGTACTACAACCCCCTCCTGTGCCTCAGAGGTAGGAGCTCTCCCCCACGCCAGCTGGGGCAGGGGTTCATTCAGTCCCTAACCCTCCCGTCCTTCCTGGAGCGCTGCCCGCTGATTTACCCCAGCCCCTCAGCCTCATCCTGCTCCCAGACAAAATCCCCGTCAGCCCTGGAGGAGCTGGGTTGGAAACGCAGGGAGCTGAGCTGCACAGAGACATCCCTGCTCTCCCCTTTTCTCCCAAGCTCTTTCGCTATGTGTGGGCGAGCCGATTGCTTTTCCCCTCTGGCAGAAACTCTCCTCCTCTGCACCTCCTCTGCCTGCCAGAGAGCATCCCGCAGGCGGGGGCTGTGTGGCAAAACCAGCACCGGGTGCTCTGGGGGTGGTTTCTAATGCACTTTTCCCTTCCCTTCTCTCCCGTTTAGGTGCTGCGTTCAGGTGAGTTGATTTTCCTTGTCCCACCCTGCACAGACTCACTAGTTTGCCTCTTGATATCTGTGGTCTCCCGTAGGGCAGGGGCCAGGCGGGCTGACCAGAGCCAAGCTGGGCTTTTGGGGTGGGAACAGGAGGGCTCAACCCAGGGGTGGCTCGGGGAGCGGGAGGACGAGGAGAGCACTTGGCCTCGCCTCTGGCCACGCAGAGGCACCAGGTAGCGTGGGGGAAGGCCGTGCAGGAGAGCTTCTCCTTGGTGCTGCCAAGCCCTAAAACACGGTGAGTAAATAGAAACAGCAACCTCCTGCTTCTCTGCACTGCTTGCACCGCGTCCTTCCCTCCCTGGGGATGTCTGAGAGCTGCACATGCCTCTGCGGGCTTCTGCTGTGCTGGGTTTCTTTCCTTCCTGCTGCTCGTGGCCCTGCTCCCTCTCCTTGCCCTTGTTGGTTGTGTTCCCACAGCTGCGGTGCTGCGGCATGGGAAGACTCTGGTGTGGGTGCCTCCAGTTCCCCCTGTGTGCAGGAGGGGAGGATAACCCGGCTCGGGAGGGGCTGTGGCAGTGTAGTACAGGAATGGTCAGGAGCTGGTTGGAGGACTTTGGAAGATGAATGGGAAGCAGTGCAGAGTGCTGGGGGCGGCCTGGGTGTGAAACCAGCTGTCCTTCGCACACGGTTAGTGCAGGCTGGGAGAGCCCTTCAAAACCCGCTCGTTTTGGTGCGTTGCAGAGGTGTCTGAGCCAGGGGAGAGGCAGCCTGGAGGGACGGGGTGAGGACGAGCTGTCCTCAGCCTCTCAGCCCACCTCTGCTTGCTCTGCTGCCCGCAGGAGCCAGGACTCGGGCGACGTTTTGGTGCTGGTGGACTCGGAAGATGACGACTATGAGGAGGAGAAGGGGGAAGAGGACGCGGTGAGCAGCTCCAAGTACGAGCTGGTCAATGGGAGCAGCGCCCCGGCTGCCTACTTGAGCTGCCTTGCAGGAGGTGAGCCCTGCTGCCTGCTTTGGGGCCAGGAGCTGTGAAGCTGTGGGATTTTGGAAAGCAGCTTCTGGGGAGGGAGGAACCCCAGGTTCTCACCTCCTTGGCACTCGCTGAGGTGCTGCTGCTCTGTAGGTGATGACGGCGAGCAGCACGGCGAGGTCCCTCTGCAGAAGACACGAGGAGAAGAGGCATGAGGCACATAATCTCCGTCCTTCTCGTGGAAGCACAAAGCACACAGCTCCAGCTGGGAGCCCTGCCTCAGGCATCCCCACCACCGCGTGGCCGCACGTGGGCTGCCAGCGCCCTGCAGCTGGTTCTCAGCGCCCTGCTCCTTTGCCCAGCTCTCCGTCCTCCCCCAGCCCCGTTCCTCCGCTTCTCCCCTCTTCTCCTGTTCTTCTCCATCTCAGGTATCCTTTTTAACGAGGTGGCGCAGGCGCAGAGCTCAGGAGCTGGGTCCCACACTCACCTCAGTGCCTGCCACAGCTTGGGTACCCGCACGGGCTCTGGCTCAGGTCCCCGTGAGCGGTGCCAGGGCTGCAGGGGACTCTGTGGGGCTGCAGCCAAGTGGCAGGGCCCTGGGATAACAAAAACCGAGTGCTGCAGGGGCAGGGCAATATGTGGGTGATGCTGATTTTTTTTTCTGGGGGGGGGGGGAGGTTTGACTGTTTTTGTTATAAATAATTTTTTCCCCGAGTTTCTTCTGAAATGTTGCTGTGGATCTAAGCTGGAAGAGCTGAGCTGGACTTTGCGGCATGGCCACGAGGGAAAGCACGGAGGGGACGGGGAGGGGGAGTGGGGATCGGGGCAGACCTGGAGGGGTCTGTAGGGTGGGTCACCGGGGGAGGGCAGAGTGTTTTGGGAGGGGATCGAGGCACAAATCAAACCTGATCCCTCTGCGTGTAAGCAGAGGGGTTGGGTGGGGGGATGTGGGCACGCACACGGGGCGTGGAGGGGGGTCAGGAGAGCGTGTGGGGGGAATGAGGGGACCTGGAGGAGGGGATCGAGGGGGGAGAGGACCCCTGGGCACACGGGGGGGGCTGTGTACACCTTGGGCAAGGCAGCAGGGGCTGAGCCCCCGCCAGGACGTGGAGGAGAGCTGAAAAGGTAAGGGGGGGGCAGAGACCTTGTGGGGTCAGCGTTTGGGGTCTGCTTGTGCACGGTGATCTCTGAAAGGGGGCAGAGGGTTGTGGGGGGCTGGGGGGGGACTGGGGTGCGGGGGGAGGCTCTGGAGAGCCAGGAGGAGGCGAGGAGGGGGCCCTGGGAGAGGGGGAGCACGGTCAGAGGGCTGCGAGGGGGGACACACCTCCAAATGTAACCCCATGGAGCCCCCAAAATAGATCTGGGGAGCAGACAGTGTGGGTTGGGGGCTCCGGCAGCACACCTGGGGCTTTGGGGCCAAAAAGAAAGGCTGGGAGGGTGTGCAGGGAGGAGGAGGGGGGCAGAGCACCCCAAATTGCCCCTCCCACTGGGGCTGGGATCGAACAGGGCCCCCGTGGCAGGGAACACATCCCGGGGACACATCCCAGGGACACGTTGGAGTCCCTGGGACCATTCCCCTGCCCTGTGGGGTGACGTTTGGGGCCGTGGCAGGGAAATCCCTGTGGGAGGCAGCAGGTGCCTCTGGCTGCCCCTGGCAACTGCTCTGTGGTGCCGCCGCCATCTCGGCCGCCCAGGCGTCCCGCTCCTCCGCACCCCCACCCCAAAATGTCCCTGGGGCTGGAGGACAGCTTGTGTAGGGTTTTCCAAGAGAAGCTGCAGCTCCGGTAGGCGACGTGCATCCCCCTCTCCAGCTGTCCTGTGGCTCCCCGTCACCTGGGGTTAGCTGGGGGGGGGGTTGGGGGCTGATTTAGGGGTGTGCAGGGGGGCTGGAGAGAGGTTTGGGGGTAGCACCTCGGGGGGGTCAGGGCAGGAGGCTGCAGCATCCCCACTGGTGTCGGGGCTGGGGGAGGCTGAAGCAGGAGGGGAGGTGGGGTCGGGGTGACCACAGGTGATCACTGGGACCCCCCCTTGAGCTCAGGGGGGGTCCTTTGGGGTCTGGGGGTCCCAAGCTGGCCCTGACGGGCTCCGTGGGGCTGTGGGCAGGACGGTGCCAGCGGGGGACTCGGTGTCGCTGCTGCCTTCCTCCACGCGCCTGCTGCTGAAGAGGAGGGAGCTGGTGGAGGTGGAGGGGGCTCTGCGGGCCCAGCGGGAGGTAGGGGCGGCCCCCAGCCCCTCCGCCTGCCCCCTGCCTGGGGAGAGGGGTGGCTGGTGGGTACAGAGGGCTCGAAACCACCGGCAACCCCTCAAAGTGGCACCAAGACCCGGTTTGCGGTGGGTGCCCCCCTCACCCTGCTCCCCACCACCCCTGGGTGCCGCGGCGAATCCACCTCAGGGATTTGGGCGGAGGATGGAGGACCTGGATCGGCGCCGGCAGCAGCTGGGCCAGCGGGCAGAGCAGCTCCGCGACGTCGCCCTCAGCTTCGACGCCTTCCTCAAGGTGTGGGCACCACCGGGCTCAGCGCCGTGCCCCAATGTGGCCGCGTCCCCGCTGCCACCGTCCCTGCCGCCCCCAGGTTTCGGCGGCCAGGAGGGAGAGGGCACGGGTGGCATGGAGGGGAGCCGATGCTGACGGCCTGCAGCAGGAGCTGGCGGGGCTGCTGAGGCGCAGGGAGCGGCTGCGACGGCAGCTGCAGGGCCTCCAGGTCTTTGGGGAGTACCTGCGGGGTGTGGTGGCCACCACGGGGCGGGTGAGTGTGACAAAAGGCGTGTCCCCATCCCGTGTCCCCCTGGGGTTGTGTTCCTCCGGGGCCACCAGCACTCTGAGCTCCACGTTGGGGGCATCTGTGAGGGGATCTGGAGCACGAAATCACCCCCAAAATGAGGGTGAGCAGCACCATGGTGGGCTGAGTGCTCCTGTAACCCCTCGTCCCCTTCCCACCGCCCAGTTCCAGGATGTCCCGTCCATGCTGGCCCATTTCGGGGCGCTGGTGGGGGTGCGGGCAGCCCTGCTGCAGCAGCTGGAGGCCGGGCAGCAGAGGCTGGCCCAGGGCCGGGCTCGGCTCCAGCGGTACCACGAGGAGGCCGGCGGTGAGCTCCTGCAGGGCAGGGACGAGGTGCTCCAGCTCCGTGCACGCCTGGAGGCCGCCCGCCACGACGTGCTCCAGGGGGTAAGGGGGGGCTGCGGGACCCCCAGGACCCCCTTTTGGGGGCGAGGGGTTGGAGTGCAAGCCCCTGATCGTGGCCCCGTTCTCCTGTGGAGGGCAGGTGGCTGTGGGGTGGTGATGGGGAGGGAGCACGAGGCTGGGGGTGCAGGGAGGTGCAGGGGATGTGGGGCACAGGGCTGTCTGTCTGTCCGTCCGTCCATCCCCCAGGAGTCCTGCTGGACCCAGATCCAGAGCGCGGCCGCCCACAAGGCCCTGCTGCTGGGGCAGATCCGGATGGCGGTGCTGAGCCTCTTCCAGCTCGCCACCAAGCACCTGAGGGTCCCCAGGGACGTGGCCTTGGAGGACACAGAGACCCAGCTGGACATGGTGAGTGCAGTGGGGCTGGGAAGGACACGGGGACATCCCTCTCCCTGGAGGGCTGTGGCATCAGAGCCCCCATCTCCGCAGGTGCTGCTGTGCCTGCAGGACCTGGCTGCCATCTGCGCTGAGCTGCGCCCCAAGGAGCCGGGGCTGGGCCTCACCACCACCACCCGCCCCCGGCACCACAGGGCTGTCACGGGGCCTCCGAGCCACCAGTGAGTCCCAACCTGGGGGCAAATCCTCCCTGGGATGAGGCTGCCAAGGCCAGCAGGGAGCTGCAGGACGCCAGCACCTCCCTGGGGATGGAGGTGGCTCCACAACGAGCCCAGGAACGCCGAGAGGCAACACAGCTCCTGCACAGCGGGGCACCAAGTGCCTTAGGACAGAGCCTGCCCCCCCCAGTGCCCTCTTGCAACTGGGCCCCAGCTGCCTGGGGGGAATGGGGAGCAGCTGCTCGTGTTCAGGCTGTTGGTGCTGATAAAGCCGTTTCCCATCAAAATACAACCCAGCCGTGGAGCTGCAGCACCTGCTTCTTTTAGGGCCGCAGCTCGGGGAGGGATTACCCCAGTCACAAGCCGCCCCCATCAAGCACCAAGAGGAGGCAGGCTCCAAAACCAGCCGGCGATTTAATGTCTCTCCCTGGCAGCATGTCCAGGCAAAAGCGGGGGGAAGCCTTTTGGCCACCCCGTGCTGCGGCACCTGCCCCGCTCCCCTCTCCTACAGCCTTTTTCGGAGCTTGCCCTTCTTGGTGGTGCCCACACGGCGCCCGAAGGCCATCTGCCGCAGCTCCTGCACCCGCTGCCGGTTCCTGGCCTTGAGGCGCTTGAGGCCCCCGCGCTGCAGGAAGCGCTGCTTGGCCGCCGCCTTGCGCTGCTTCAGGATCTGCTGCTTGGTCTTCAGCTCCGAGCGCACCTTGCCCCGCGTGGCAGGCTGCCGGCGTCCTGCGGGATGGAGGCAGGCAGAGGAGGAGGTAAAAACCACGCTGGGAGGCCAGAGAGAGAGAGTGGGGGGCTATGTGGGGGCTGCTGGGGTACTCACCCTGCCCGCGTTTGTGCTTCCCTTTGAACTGCTCCCTGCCTCGTTCGTCCTCCTCATCGTCGTCCCGCTCGTCGACTTTCTGCTTCTGCTTCCACTTCTCATAGCTGGGCTGGGTTAAGGGAACGTGCAGCCACTCCCCAGCACATGCCCAGCCTCCCTCCCCGGCCCCAGCACCGGGCAGCTCCCCCGCTGCAGGACGTGGTGCTGGCACCCTCAGCCTCCCGATTCCCCTTGCAGGGCGCAGTGCCCGCGGGCAGGATACAGGTTGTTCTTGTAGGAGCCGCTGATGTAGCGCCCGCTCTCTGTCCGCACCTTCTTCTTGTCCTCCTGGCCCGTTAGCCCCACAAACCGCTTCTTCTTACGGTCCCTGGGAAGGACAGAGGGGGAGGAAGTGGGAGAAAGTCCACCTCTAACTGCCCCTGCACAGTCTGACAGCAAGAAACAGTCTTCAGCTGGAAAAAAATACCTCCTGGGGGTACAACCCTCTCTCCCCTGGCCATGTGGACCCCCCGCTCACCACTTCAGCAGCTGCTTGCTCCTGTTGAGGTTGTGGTTCTCATCGCCCATGAGATCCAGCACAGCTCCAGCTGCCTGCTGCTCGAAGGCGCTGCCCTCGCCGCCCACGCTCAGCCTGCGGGGAGGACAAAAGGAGCGCTGAGAGCAGCCCCCCAGCTGCAGGATGTTGTGGGAGGGCAGCGGGATTGCTCCCCGACTCACCCCCTCTCGCTCTCGAAGTCCTTGGGGCGGTAGGGGACGTAGAACTCCTCCTCCCGCTGTGCCGGCTGCTGCGGCTTCTTCCTGGCACCGTCTTCTCCATCCCGGCCCCGTTTCCGTTTGCGTCCCACCACGGCGGAGAACACGTCCTGGGAAGGGGATGGAGGGGGCTGGGGGAGCTGTGTCCCCCTGCCAGCCCAACCCAGGGGCCCAGGTTCCTGCAGGACACTGTGCTGGCCCCAAAACCATAGCCCAGCCCTGTCCCTGCGCCTCTACCTGGAGGTTTTCCTCCTCTCCTTCCCTTTCCTCGGGCTCAGGGGGGGCCTGGCGCAGCCCCTGCCCTTGGAGAGCTGCTGCCCGCTTCTCCTGCTGCCCACGCTGGTACTTCTGGATGAGGGCATGGTCGCGGCGCCGCTTGGACCGCATGACAGCGCTGGCCATGGTGCGGGCTGTGGCGTTGATCTCAAAGATGGTCTGCACGGGGGGAGAGAGCAAGTCCTGCATGCTGCAGGCACAGGGACCTTCCCTCCCCTCCTTCTGCCTCCCGTCCTGCCGGGCCTCAACTCACCGCCTTGGCCTTGTAGCTTTTAATGCTGTCCACAAACTTCAGCCTCTCCAGCTCTGTGTCTTCAAAGCAAGCACCTGGAGAATATGGGCGCAGAGGGGACACCGATCAGCCCAGCAGTGAGGGGACAGGTCCCCTCCCTCGGCGTCCCCGCGGCGCTCACTGAAGAGTGGGTGCAAGCCCAGCTGGGACGTGTCCAGGTCCTTCACCCTCTTGATGGACTCGGGCGAGGGGCCGGGCCGGGAGCGCAGGTACTGCTTCTGCGCGTTGTCGGCCACCCGGCGCAGGCTGCGCAGCTCCAGAGAGCCCTCGTGGTCCGTGAGCAGCAGGCACTCCTCGTCATCCACCAGGCTCCGCGGGACACGGCCCAGCACCCCGTCGGCACCTGGAGCACAGGGGACACCGTGTCATCGCTCGCCCACCCTCCCTTCTCCATCTGCACCTCTGTAATAGGAGCATATCGCTTCTCTGAGAGCCCAAAAGGCTGGCACAAGACCACAGACTCCAAAAATAAACCCCATGTGCGGCCAGGACACGAGCCTGGAGGGATGTGCAGTCACCCCAATATCTGTGATGGGTTTGCCTTACCTGCAGGCAGCTCCTGGGCACCGGCGAGGACGAGCGGGCGCCCCAGGAAGAGGTGGAGGTCGAAGACGTAGGGCATCTCGTCGGGAGCCACCAGTGAGTAGGCAGTGCCGCTCCGGCCGGCTCGAGCCACGCGACCTGGAAGGACGAAGAGGAGAAAAGTGGGAAACCAGAGCCACAGGCAGCATGCCTGGGCTGGGAAGGGGCTGTGGGTCACTAGGGAAGGGAGCAAAAGGGGACCCAGCCACTGCCCCAAGCCTGTCCCTAGAGGCAGGGGACCCTGAGGTGCACGTGTCACCAGAAGGAAGGCACCAGCCCTGCCCTGAGAAGGGTCCACAGTCCAGCTGGGAAAACAGGGACATCACAGCCCCCACCACGGCCACCTCCTGCCCCAGACGTATCTCTAACAAGTCAAGGGGATCAGCGCCTTCTCTGCAGGTTTCCCAGCATGGTGAGGCGCAAGGACCAGACCCTTAAAAACAGGGGACGAGGGACAGCCCGTCCTGAGGGACCCCGGGTCGCACAGGGCGCTGCCACCCACCGACACGGTGCAGGAACAGCTTGGACTTGGCGGGGAAGCTGTAGTTGATGACGTTGTCCAGCATGGGGATGTCGAGCCCGCGGGCAGCCACGTCGGTGACCAGCAGCACCGGGCACTTGCCCTGGGCGAATTTGGCGATGTTGATCTTGCGGGCGGTCTGGTCCAGCGAGCTGTAGATGTGGGTGCAGCAGATGCCCTGGGCTGTCAGCAGCTAGAGATGGGGGAAAAGTGATCAGATCCCGCTTGGAAATGCACCCTCAGCTGAGGGACGGGGTCCCCCAGGCTCCTGAGACCCCAGGGTACCCACCCAGATCCCAAACCCACTGCAATCTGCCCTTTTTTGTAAGGAGTTGGTGAATGCAGCATCTCCACAATCTCACGTGCTGGGGATTTCTCCTTCAACCAGGAGAAATGGGCTGGGACTCCAGCAGGAACCTGCCCATGGATGCAGACCCCACGTGGGTCTGTGAAGGGGCCCCCCTGCAGCCTGCCCACACCCATCGTGTGCCCCCGATGCCACTTGCCTCCTTGAGATACTCCGTGTGGTGCTTGGTGGCCACGAAGACGACCGTCTGGTCCTGGGGCTTCACCACGCTGCGCAGCAGGTGGAGCAGCACGGCCGGTTTGTCGTCCCCGCGGACGTGGAAGAAAGCCAGCTGCAGGGGGAGGGCAGAGCTCAGCCCTTCTGGGGTCCCACTGCTCTTGGGGACACCCCGCAGCACCCTGCCAGCTCCCCACCCTGAGCACAAAGCCCGGCTCAAGCTCACCTTGAGCTGCTCGCTGAGCTTGGACTCCACATCCAGACGGATCAGCGTGGGCTCGGTGAGACCTGCAGGACACGGGCACACAGAGGATGCGGGTGGGGTGGGGGACACGCTGCTGGGACAGCCCCCAGCTCCCTCCCAGCCTGGGGCACCTGCTTGGCCCAGCCTCAACCCAGCTTGGATTTTCCAGTCCTGGGCCTGTGTCGAGCACAGCTGAGGGACTGGGTCACATCCCCATCCCTGACAGCTCACAGGGCCACTAAGCCTTGGATCCAGCCCCAAAACCCAGCCCTGCAGCTGCCATCTGCCCCACGCTTCTCACCAGCCCGGGCGAACTCGACGAGCAGCTTGGGCAGCGTGGCAGGAGAAGAGGACAGTCTGGTGGCCGCCTGGGAGCCGTGCCAGGATCTCCTGGAGCTGCTCTGCGAAGCCCATCTCAAAGAGCCTGTAGGGGAAGGGACAAGGGACATCACAGAGCCCGCTGCACCTCTCCGTGGCCAGCCAAGGGCACCTCGTCCAAGCTCACTGACCTGTCGGCCTCGTCAAACACCACGTACTCCACGCTCTGCAGCTTCAGGTTCATCTCCACCGCCACGTGCACCAGGCGCCCCGGGGTGGCGATGATGCTGGGTGGGACAGAGATGGTTACACCGAGCTGGTTCTGGTGATGGGGCCACGTGAGGGACAACAGGGGCTCCCTGCACCACCCCAAATCCAGCCCTGGTGACTCTCGGTGGCCGTTTCCCCACCATGTGCCCTCCCTGTGCCCACACTCACATGTCGGGGTTCTCGTGCAGCGCCGCGAACTGGTCCTCCATCCTGCGAGAAGGGGGAGGACACAGGGCAGCTCAGCTCACCACCCTGAGATTTGGCACTTTTGGGGGTGTTTTAGGGAAGCTGGGGTGACAAGGAGAGCGGGGACACAGCTTACTTGTCTCCTCCCAGGATGAGAGCTGTCCTCAAGCCGGTGAACTTGCCCAGCTGTGGGGTGAGAAACACGGGGGAGTCGTTAGCAGGTTCAGCACCCAACCAAACCCCAAGCCCACCACGGTCCCTGTTCATCCCCATACCTCCTTGGTGAATTTCAGGGTCTGCAGGGCCAGCTCACGCGTGGGGGAGAGGATGAGGGCACGTGCCCCAGCCGGGCTGGGCGCCTTCAGCCGCTCGAACATGGGGATGAGGAAGCAGGCCGTCTTCCCGCTGCCCGTCCGTGCCATCGCCACCACGTCACGGCCACGCAGGATCACCGGGATGGTCTGCGGGATACGGCCCTGCCCTCAGCACCCCATAGAGGTGGAGGGATCCCAAAAGTGCCCCCACACCCCCAGGGTCTCACCTTCCTCTGGATGGGCGTCGGGACCTTGTAGCCCTTCTTCATGATGCCCTTGAAGACGGGGTAGCTGAGACCTGCGGGGATGTGGGGACAGGTGAGGGGACATGGGTGGTAGGGACACGGCCATGGGGTTGGGGGGTGACAGCGTTGGGGACCCCCCAAAGTCAGGCACACGCACCCATGGACTGGAAGCCTCCGGATTTCTTCTTCTTGTTCTGTGCCCGCACCATGGCCTGCGTGTCCTCGGCAGTGGCATCGTCCTCGGCATCGGCGCTGGGGAAGGCGGGCAGCGGGGCCGCGGGGACCTGGGGACAGGCGGCGAGAGGGGACGGTGACACTGGGGACAGCGGGACACAGGGACTGGGGACACTGGGACACGGGGACTGGGGATAGTGGGACATGGGGACAGCGGCACGTGGAATCACCGGGACATGAGGACAGGGGGTACCAGTGCCACGTGGGGACTGGAGAAACTGGGAGCACTGGGACGGGCAGACTGGGAGCACTGGGACGGGCTCTGCGGACCCCGGTGCCAGCAGCAGCCCAGCCCCGCGTGTCCCGGTGACGGCGGCCACACGCGGAGCGCCGGGACACGCCGCCACCCCCGGTCCCCCCCGGTCCCCCCCGGTCCCCCCGGTGTCCCCAAACCCCCCCATGCCCCGGGTACCCCCCGGTCCCCCCCGGTACCTGGGGTCGCCGCTCCCCGGCCCCACCGGGGCCCCGCTGGCGGCGGCTGCGAGGCGGCGGCGCCATCCCGGCCGTGGAGCACGGAAGCGGGGGCGGCCCCGGGCGGAAAGGGAGGGCACTGCCCGGCACCGGGACCGACCCCGGTATCACCGGGGCGAGGGTGTTTGGGGACCCCCGGGGATCCCCCCCGAGGTGCGGGCTCCTCGCAGCCGACCCCCCCCCCCCGGCCGCCCGCCTGAACGCCCCTTTCCCTCTTTTGATCCCCCGCTCCGCCTTTTCTTGCCCCCTTTGCTTCCCCTCTCCTCCTTTGTAGCCCCCTTGCCCCCTTTTTCTCCCCCTATCCCCCCTCGTTTCCCCCTTTCCCCTCTTGTTACCCTCTCTCCCTCTTTTCTTTCCCTCTCTCCCTCTATATTATCCCCTCTCCCCCCCGTTACTCCCTTTCCCCCTGTATTTCCCCCCTTGTTACTCCGTCTACTCCTATATTACTCCCTCTCCCTTTATATTATCCACTCTCCCCCTATATTACCCCCTCTCGTTATCCCCTCTCCCCCATATTACCCCCTTCACCCCTTCCTTTCCCCTTCTTGTTACCCCCTCTTCCCTATATTACCCCCTCTTCCACTTTCTTTCCCCCTCTTGTTACCTCTTCTCTCCCTATATTACCCCTTTTTCCCCTACATTACCCCTTCTCCCCCTTTCTCACCCCTTCTTGTTACCTCTTCTCCCCCATATTACCCCCCTCCCCCTTTCTTTCCTCCTTTTGTTACCCTGTCTCCCCATTTGTTACCCCTTCTTGTTACCCTCTCTCTCCCATGTTACCCCCTCTCCCTCTTTCTTTCTGCCCCTTTTGCCTCCTCTCCCCCTATATTACTTCCTCTCCCCCTATATTATCCCTATACAGGGTGGCTACTGCCAGGAGCTGCCAAGGTTGGGATATGTGGGGAATCTGCTAGCTCCCTCCCACGTGAAGGAAACCTTCTGTCGAATCCACCCGAGGACAAACTGAGCCAGGTTAAGGGCATCATTCTGCCCCCAGGAATGGTTTTATTGAAATATTTATTTTTATTTATATTTATTCTGCTTCTAGAGCAGCAGAACCGGGCCCTGACGCACACAAGTACACAAAAGGCACCGAAGCTGGGAAGCCCAGCCAGGAATCTGCGCTCCTGGTCCTGTCCCATTGGCAAGAGACGAGCTTCGGGCAGGCAGCAGAGCTCAGCCCCGAATGGCCACGTCCTCTGCCCCAGCAAGCGCTGCCTCAGCCACTGCTTGAGCCCCTGGGCAGCAAGCAGCCCTGCTGGGAGGAACAAGCGGAGGCCACAGGATGGATGTAGTGCTTATTTCTCAGCCTCCTTGCCCTCTACCTTTTTCTTTTTGATTTGTGCAGTGTTTGCAGCAAGCAGCTTCGGGTGCAGGTGGCCGACCACGGCCATCCCCTCGCACCCCACTGCCTCCCTGCTGCTCTGAAACTCTCGCACCCTCCTCAGGGGAGGCATTTCGGGTGCCGACATGAATCCGAGCCTATTTTATTGGGGTCTCAGCACAGCGATGGGGGCTGCCATATCTGCAAGACTTCAGGGGGGCCGAGAGAGAAACAGAAACGCCAAGTGGCCGCTAGATGGAGGCAGCAGGGTTAGGGACCGAGCGGCAGCCCCGCTCCAGCAGCAGGGCCGGGTGCCATGAAGCACATCAGCAGCGGGGGGGGAGCGGCCCCAAAACCAGGCAGCTCCCACACACAGTGCAGGGGAGTTATGGGGCTGGGGGCGGCAGCAGGGCGGGATTTATCACGGGTGGCGGGGCTTTATCTGCTTTTTAGGACTTTAATAGACATTTAGGTGTAGAGCTCAGCGATGTGTTTTAATGGAGGACTGCTCGGTGTGAGGGCGGGGCGGGGCGGCACCGGGGGGGCTCCCTGAGGCCCCAATGGGGCCTGGGCTGAGGCCTGGGCCTGTCCCTAGGCCTCTCCCCGTTGCCCCGTTGCTAGGCAACCGCCGCGCTCACCCCTGACCCCGCGCAGCCGCCTCAGGCAGCCAATAGGAGCCCGCGCTGCTCCCCCCCCCCCGCCCTTTCCTTCCCCTCCGTAGGCGTGCGGCTTGCCCCGTGATGCCGTTCCGCCTCCACGCCCGCCACCAGCCAATCAACGCCCTCCGCTCTCCTGATGGGCAGCGCCGCCGCCCAATGAGGAAGCGGAGCGGCGGAGGGAGGCGGGAACAAGCCGCAGCGGCAGGGCGGCGGGCGGGAGGTGGGGCGGGGCGAAGCGAGCTCCGAGCGCTGATTGGCGGGCTGTGGGGAGGCGCCCCGCGGCTGGGCCAATGAGGAGCGGGAGGGGCGGGGCGCGGCGGTGCGAGGGCGCTGAGGTGCGGCGGGTTCGGCTCGGTTCGGCTGCGTTCGGCTCCACTCGGCTCCGTCCGGCCGCGTTCGGCTCCTCTCGGCTCGGTTCGGCTCCGTCCGGCCCCGGGGGCGCTGGGCGGGAGGGAGGGCGGCGGGGGCCGGGGGGGGGGGGAAGCGCTGTGAGGGGCTCGGCCGTGAGGTGCCTCCGCCTGCCCCTCAGGGGGGGATTTTACCCCTCCAGGAGGGATTTTACCCCCTGCAAGAGGATTTTTGCCCCCTTTAGAGGAAATTCTGCCCCCCCCAGAGGGGGTTTTGCGTCATTCGGGAGGATTTTTGCCCCTTCCAGGAGGGGTCCTGCCTCTCCCCGGGGGCATTTCCCCCTCTGAGGAGAATTTTGCCTCCCCCAGGAGGGATTTTGCCCCCTCCAGAGGGGATTTTTCACTATTTAGAAGGGGTTTTGCCCCCTCCAGGAGCAGTTTGCCCTTTCCAGAAGGAATTTTTCACCTTTCAGAAGCGAGATTGCCCCCTCCAGGGGACGTTTTGCCCCTTCCAGGGGGAATATTTCCCCCTCCAGAAGGGATTTTTCACTGTTCAGAAGGGAATTTTGCCCCTTCCAGAGGGATTTTTGCCCCCTCTTGGTGCTTTTTGCCCCTCCACTGGGGGCGTCGAGGCCGAGCCATGTGCTCTGGGGGCTGCCTAGCACCATGCCAGCCCCCCGCAGCCTCCCCCTGTTCCCCGGGGCCATCCCCCGAGCCCCAGGCCCTGTGGGGTCGATGTACGCCCCCTGGGTGATTTTTGGGACCCGTAACACCCCCGAGCCGAGCGCTTTGCACCGATACTCGTAGGCGAGCGGTACGAAGGGATGGGCGAGCCTCTCTCCGTGTCCACACACCCGCAGGACGCTCCCGATGGAAGGCTTTGCGGGGCGAGCTGCTGACCCAGCCCTTTTACACCAAGCCCTGCAGCCGGCGTTGTCGGGACCCGTCGGGGGAGGACTTCTGGCAGCAGGAGCC